AGGTCCCTTGGATGTTTGTGCCTGACACTGTCTGGAGTTAATCCTGTGATGATTAATTGATTTTATGCTTAATTCTTTGACTGTAATTAATCTTGGTTATAAATACAGCTATATAATGAGTCCTATGACCTGTCATATTGAATCATTGAACCAAGGAAGACTAATGGGTTAAAGTCTTGCGACACTGTGAATGGAGTTTGAAGACGATTTGAGAAATGGTTGAGGTAATCATTTACTTCATCTTCAGATCCTGAAGTACAGAAGTCACAGGAAATACGAAAAGAGAGCTTCCACTTGAGACTCCTTCTATAAGGAAGTGGGTGAAGATAAAGTGTAGTTTGCTGACAGGGATGAAGGTTTCTGTAACAGTCACTGTGTGAGAATTCTCTGGCATCATTGATCATGGATGGATGGGATGAAGTAGATAGGCATCATGGGAAATAGAGATCTCTATATGCTGTGGACCTTTGGAAATTTGCTGGGTTGATCATTTTGAAATTTTAGGCTTGATGTTTAATAATCCTGTGCCGACTCAGTTATTGGGGTATTAGTGACAGTCAATAACACAGGTTATTAGGAGTCAGTAACTAGATGTCTGTGGTTTGAAATTAGTGATACATACATGATTGGTGGTCCATGAGGGTAAGAGATTATCTTTAAGTGTCAAACATATATATTTAAATGTATATGTATTGGTGTCAAATTTGTCCAGTAGCTCCTTCACTTACCTGCATCATAAGAGAGCTTCATCATGCTTTAATGTCCCCTCTGCCTACAACTCCTAACAGTAACATTCTTGTTTATTTTTCTTGCATAATATTTATTTAAGAGCCAGTAAGATAGCTCAGTGGACTAAATGCCTGCTTAGGAAAGTGCAGGACTAGGGTTTGATCACCTGTATCGCATGCCATGCCGACCTGGCCCCTGGGACACACTGAGCCATTGACCGAGTTGGCATGGGGTGGTTCATGCCTATAATTGCAGCACTGGGGAGGCTGAAAATAGGCAGATCACTATGAGTCTGAGCTGTGTGGTGAGGCCCTGTACCAAATACATAAATGAAAAAAAATATTTCTTGATTTTAAGAATATTTTTGTGATACACAAGTACATTCTCAAGGTGTTTAGATCTAACTAGACATTTCACTGACTTTACTATTCATAGCTTTCTCATGTATTTAGCCTTTCACAACATTGAAATTTTATTTTGATCCCAATTTTTCTTTTAAAGATTCCCCTTTCCCTGTTTCTCCCTTCCCCTCTCCCTTTTCCTTTATTTCTAAAGCATATAGGCAGTGTAATTTCTGCATCTATACACTCCTAAGATGTTTCACTTTTACTTCCACCATAAATGATTTTTTTCCTGATTATAAAAATAAAAAATCTCAATTCTTTCACCTCAGAACTTTATAAACTATAGAAACTGATTCATACCCTTTAATTAGCCATTGTTACGGGAGAAAAGATAAAGGCTATTTATTCTCTCTCTCTCTCTCTCTCTCTCTCTCTCTCTCTCTCTCTCTCCCTCTCCCTCTCCCCCCCATTCATTCGCTCTCTCCTGTTATTCAGATTTCAGATGATTTTATCCTCTTGAATAAATAAATTTACATTAGGAAAATTTGCTAGTTTTTTTATTTCCTTTAAAAAGTACATTATTAGGCAGAGAATAGAGACCTTATAGACCAATGATGGCAAACCTTTTAGAGCATTCAGTGATAACAAACAACTAGTGGTGGTGTGTGTGTGTCATAGATTCACCACCACTGCTATAGACTGTGATGGTCCACAGTGAGTTTTCAAGGTATGAATTATCTTGTCTAAATCATTTGCCAAATATGGGTAAAACTAGACTGAATAGGACTATGCTATTACAGGAAGCAGTGACACTCAAAGATGTGACTATGGCCTTCACGCAGAAGGAATGGAAGAAAATGGATCCTGCTCAAAGGGACTTATACAAGGATGTGATGCTGGAGAACTATAGCAACCTAGCCATAGTGGGTAAGGACAATCCTTTGTAATTCAAAATGTGTTCACTTTGGTGCCTTCTTCTGGAAGTCTTTCATGAGTTTGGCCTTGATTTTAAGAGACCAAAGAGTTTTAATCTCTTGGTTACAGGGAAGGATACTTGTACCAATGACTTCCAAAAGAAGATCTGCTCTGTTGAGGTATATGGGTTTCTACCTTGTGAAACTTCAGAATCCATGTATTCTTGAAAGACACTGAGGTGCAAACAGATGGCTTGATTTCTAAGATTTTCTTCTTACACTAAATTCTGCCATTTCCTTTAAGCAGGGTATCAATCCTCCAAACCAGACATGATCTGCAAGTTGGAAAAAGGAGAAGAGCCATGGTCAAGGAAGGGGAAAAGATCCAATCAAAGCCATCTGCGTAAACTAGCAAGACCCAAGCAAGAAGAAGCCAGTGGAAGTAAGTTTTTGGTTTCTTGGTGTAACTGTGGAATTCTCCAATTATTTATTCTTAAATTCTTCTTAAAGACCCCAGACAAGTTTTGCTTACCCAGTAAATGACAGTAGAAAAACATCAGAATCTTGTAGGGAAAGGAGAGTTCAAACTACAAAGATTTCCAGGCCTTAGAGATTCTAATATCTCTTCCTTCTATGAATCCACATACAAGAGGTTCTCCTGTGAAGTGAGCTCTACTAGTGAGCCAGTGTTATGGGAATTTGATTATACAATTTCTGTCAGTCAGCTTAGACTGTTTTGTTCTCTTAAGGAATAGTCCCAGATACCTCAGCTTACTGGGGACCTAGGCTGAAAGAGCATTTTCCTCGTTGACAAAGAGTGAAAAAGGGATGAGCATAGCCAACCATATGGTAGCTCTTCCTCCCACCCCAGTACTGGGGATTGAACTCAGGACCTTGTGCTTGTGAGGCAGGCGCTTAAGCTGCTGAGGTATCTCCCTGGCCCACACTCGGTAGCTTTCAAAATCACTGTTTATAACTGGTACCAATTCCTTCCAGCTCTCATTTTATTGGTTAGAGTAAGCCATTTGGCCACTACTGATTTCAATAGGCTAGAATGTGCAATCCTCTCATGGAGAGCACTGCTGTAATTCACATGGCCAGGCATTTGGGAAGAGCTGAGAAGTATTATCCTTCCATAGGTACAGTAATATAGTTTGTCATACCATTCAGATTGTGGTAGGAAAAGAGATGAAAATCAGTTCTCTAACCTTTAGTACCAACCCTTCAGATGCCTGATCTCTCTATATGACTTTCTTTCTTTACCATGTTCTTCATTGCTCAGCTTGCAGATGACCTCTTAGCTTTTCTCTTAATCATATACATACTTGCCTTATCTGAAGGAGTGTTGTTTTGAAAATTGTCTTTTCTTTATATGCTTAGTTTTCCTCTCTTCCTCTACCACACTACAGTGTTCCTCAAGGTTCATATCATCTCTTGAAATATTCAGACATTCTTAGGTCAGTCTTATTTTCATGTCTCTTGCCATGATGCTTCTGCCTTTGATGACTTTGTGTTTCTCTCTCCTGTCTGTGAAATGCTCCAGGCCTGTGGACTATACCACACTTTTTCCAGGCTTTGTTTTATCTTTGCAGTGGCTGTTCACTTTCCTTCTCTTGCTTTTTCAGATTGTGGGGATTGTTTTAGTGTTTTTAATTCTCATTTTGAAGGTTTTGTTCCAAACATGTAGCTGAAAAAGGCCACACTGAAATGGCATCCGTAGTTCTTAAGTTTAATAGGTTTACACATACAATATCCATATTTAGCTAGCAGAAGTGCTTGAATTTCAACCCCAAATTCTTAGAAGTGAAATATTATTGAATCACTAGGGCCTGGTGCTTACCACTGTTCAATAATTGCTTTCTGCAGGAAGTTGGATCATACAGTGTAAACATGGATGTCTATACATGTCATTGTGGGTGATAGTCTCAGGGAATGGAAACAGTGATTAAGAATATAATTCAAAATATATAATTATGTAATGTATAGGAAAAGAATGTGAGTGACTACTTAGAGGTATGGATAAACTTAACATTTATAATTGGTAACTGTAATGACTTGACAAGAACAAAATGTTCATTCTTCCATGGCAAACTGTTGGAATGCATGTAAACTGTAAATCCAGATGCTGTGAAGTTTGTTCACTGAGCTCATTGCTGTGAATTTTATTATTTTGTAAAACCCTCGTTCTATCTATCTATCTATCTATCAATCAATCAATCATCTATCTGTCTATCTATCTATCCATCCATCCATCCCCAATGCAATAGCATTGGAACAAGTAACAGTGGAACACCTATTCCTGTTTATTTCCTCAGTCATATATTAGTATTTCTTAGTAGACTCATCTTATATTCTCTCTTCTGGTTTATTAAACCTTTATTAACCTGTAAGTTAGCCTTATTAAACAGGAATTTCTGATAATAGTATGGGTGTATCTCTTATAATCTAAGGGGAGGTATTTTAGCCAGATCTTACTAGAAACTAGAACAGCGAACTGGGAGGCCACTGGGAATTGAAATACAAGTGATGTCTTTAAGCATATAAAATGTTGTATTTTTGCTTCTCTGTGTATATGTGCTTCGCTCTTTATCCTGAGGAGTTTTTAGTGATACAGGGAAAATATACCTTTCCTATTACTTGTCTTGTATCTTTTTTTTTGCCTGTTAAAATTTATTTATTTTTTGGATTTTATTTTGTTTTATTGAGAAACAAATATCAGACAGTTTCAAAACTGATTAATAGGAGGCCATATTCAATAATTAATACATTGTACATTGTTATCTTCTTAGTGGTTATCCATAGTACAAGATGCAGACAGGATATCCTGTCCAAACACTATTACTACAAACCTTTCTTCTCACTGAATTAAGTGAAAGTAGCTGTATATCTATCCCAACTATTCTGTATATACAAATACAAAATGATCCTTCCTTTGTATTCCCTTTTTTTGTTTAGTCCTGTCAGAGATGGGTATTCTATTGACATCTAAATACCATAGGTACTTGAATTCAGCAAAACAATCCAACATAGTCCAGCAGTCCACAATAGTAGTGGGTTATCCACAGAAGTTGTTGACTAAAGCCTTTTACAACTCAGCATATTAATATGGTTTTACTTAATATACCTCGTTTTTATACTTTACTGCTGGATGGTTAAGACCAAGATAAAGCAAGACCTATATAACAAGAAATGTAACTTTTGTATCTGGTCTTGGATCATTTTAAATTTAACCAGTTAGTGGAGACCACATGAAGTCTAAATTTATTTTGATGGTACTGGGGATTGGTTCCAGCACCTCATAAATGCTAGGTAAACATTCTGCCACTAGCTATACCCCTAGACCTTTAAAATTTTTATTTTGACATAATTTCTCATTAAGTTGCTCACATTAGCCTCAAGCTTGTAATTCTTCTGTGTCACCCTCCCAAGAAGCTAGGATTACAAATATGTGACACCATGCCTGGTCAGAATTTACATATTTGAGAGGAAGAATCTCATTGGATATCTTGGATTGAGCAAAATGTGTTACCAACTGAATAAGCAGTTATATATATCTATATATCTATATATCTATATATCTATATATCTATATCTATATCTATATCTATATCTATATCTATATCTATATTAAGCCACAAGCACTAAATATCATGGGTAAATTGGCATATTTTAGATCTGGGCATCTAGGCATGAGGAGAGATTCAGAAAGTGTTGACTATAATCCCAAGCTCTTTTAACATCATTTATTGTCTATGTAATGTTCCTTGCCTCAGTTACTTTTTTCATTGCTGAAACAAAATACCAGTCATGCAAAGTTAAAGAAGGAATGTTTATTGTATCTCACAGTTTGCAGAGGTTTCAGTTCATAGCTGGCTGGCTCTAAGGCAGGGTGGCATGGCAGAAGGACATGAAACAAGAGAAACAGTTTATGCCAGGCATAAGACAGGAAAGCAGTGAAGTAGTAAAGCAGGAACAGCAAGCGACAGCAACAGCCCTCTTTCTGTTCCTTATATTTTATTTCCAGTATACACCCCCTTAGGATAGGTAGTACTCACATCCACAATGGGACTTCTCATTATCCACACCCAGTACTATGGCAAACCAATCAGTAGACAAATTTAGTACTCACACTCTTGATTGCAACATCACACATTTAACCCCAACATTACACACTAAAGATTTACCTCTAGATCTAGCCTCTGGGAAATCCCACTTATGACCACATGAGGCTCTGTAGGACATCTAAACACAAACCCTAACAGTCCTTATGCTTATTTCATCTTCTATCCCAGGTTTCAAGGTCATAGTTCTAAGCTGTTAAAACAGTTTCTAATCACTGTTTTAAATTTTCTTTCCCTGGTTTTACTGCAACATTTATCCCCTGAAGTCTAAGAGGTTATGGACATTTGCTCTTGATAGTTCTTTTTACCCCACAGCAGAGTATTTCTAAATCTTATAAAGAACTTACATGACTGTTTGAAAATTCACAAGAGTATGTCATTAAATTCTATTTTAGAAGTTCAGCAAGATGATGACCAGCTAAAGAATAACCAGAAATCTCAAGACAAACTCATTAGGGAAGTTGCATTCAAGAAAACTCCAACCAAGAAGAAAGACAGTGAATGTACTTCATTGGAGAAAAAAAATAATGTGAATACAAAACATAGTCCTTCAAAGAAAAGGCTTAAATTTGATTCAGATGGAAAGAATTTGAAATGGAATACAGCTTTACCTGGTCATGTAAAAAACTCTGCAAAAAAGAAACCTGATATTGCTAAAGAACACAAGAAATCATTAAAGCATAGCTTATCTGATACAAAGATAGACAAAAATCAAACTGGAAAGAAACTTGATAAATTATCTAACCATACTTCTGATAAGTGTGACAAAACTCAAACTGGCAAGAAACAAGAAAAATTATATGATCATCATTCATCCTGTGCTAAGAAAAACAAAATCCAAATGGGAAGGAAACATGAGACATCATCTACTAAAACTGATAAAACTCAAGCTTGTGTGAAACCGTATGAATGCAATCAATGTGGGAAGGTTCTCAGCCATAAACAAGGGCTAACTGACCACCAGAGAACTCATACAGGAGAGAAACCATATGAATGTGAGGAATGTGGAATTGCCTTTAGCCAGAAGTCTCACCTTGTTGTACATCAAAGAACTCACACTGGAGAAAAGCCATATGAATGTGTCCAGTGTGGCAAAGCCCATGGTCATAAACATGCCCTTACTGACCACTTAAGAATTCATACTGGGGAAAAACCCTTTAAATGTACTGAATGTGGAAAAACCTTTAGACACAGCTCAAACCTTATTCAACATGTGAGATCTCATACAGGTGAAAAACCATATGAATGTAAGGAATGTGGAAAATCTTTTAGGTATAACTCATCACTTACAGAACATGTAAGAACTCATACAGGTGAAATACCATATGAGTGTAATGAATGTGGCAGAGGTTTTAAGTATAGTTCATCCCTGACAAAGCATATGCGAATTCATACAGGTGAGAAACCTTTTGAATGTAATGAATGTGGGAAAATGTTCAGCAAAAAGTCACACCTCATTATACATCAAAGAACTCATACAAAAGAGAAACCTTATAAATGTGATGAATGTGGAAAAGCCTTTGGACATAGCTCATCTCTCACTTATCATATGAGAACTCATACAGGTGAAAATCCCTTTGAGTGCAATCAGTGTGGGAAGGCATTTAAACAAATTGAAGGCCTTACTCAACATCAGAGAGTCCATACTGGGGAGAAACCATATGAATGTAATGAATGTGGGAAAGCTTTCAGCCAAAAGTCACATCTCATTGTGCATGAAAGAACTCACACAGGTGAGAAACCCTATGAATGCAATGACTGTGGGAAAGCTTTCAATGCAAAGTCACAACTTGTTATACATCAGAGATCCCACACAGGAGAGAAACCCTATGAATGTAATGAATGTGGGAAAGCCTTCAAACTAAATGCATCACTTATCAAGCATATGAAAACTCATTTGGAAGAGAAAACTCACAAATGAAATCAATTATGGAAATCTGATAACTAAATTGTTGTATAATGTTAGAAATGCATATTCTGAACTTAAAGAATATTAGAAAACTTCTAGTGAGAAGTCACACTGTGTTATATATTAGAGAATTGAATGTGGATCTTAATATAGAAGAAATGGATGGAAGTAAGAGTTGTAATGTGGTATGAAATATTTTACAGAAAGAAAAATTTTTTTAAGACAGGCCTTACTTTATAGATCAGGTGGGCCTCGAACTTGTAGTGTGATCTTCCTGTGTTAGCCTCCTGAGTGCTGGTACTATAGGCATGTGCCACCACACCTAGTGAAAAAATTATTTTAAAAATTATAAGTGATCTTGATATTTAGATTGACATATAAAGCTTTAAGCATTAAATGAAGTGATGAAACAAGTTGCATATGCTAACAATTTGAGTTGCTTAGATGTTGTGGACTTAAGCACCACATGTTAGAATTCACTTTACATATCTATGTTGCTTTGTGTAAATAAGGATGGCCATTTATATAAGCCTCTTATATTCTACCCACTTTTTTAAAATTAATGTTGAAATTGGCTTCTGCATGAGCAGAAAGCTTTATAAAATGGTTTTTATTAATCTAAAATTAAACAGAAAATTAAGAAAAAAAAACAGCTAAAGATGTAAATATGCTGGTAGTGAGTCTAAAAAACTGGATTACTGACCCATGTATACATTCTTTCCCCAGTTTTCTATAAAAGGACGTGTTTTTACCCCTCTCTCTCTATGTGTGTGTGTATATATGTATGTATATATTCATATGTTTGTATATGAATAGATTTTGTTTAAAAAGTCCAGAAGAAACTTAATAGTGGTTGGTTGCTATTGGGCACAGGAGAGTGCTGTCTGGTTTGTGACTAAGACCTATTTTTTAGTATATTGTTTAAATATCATGTATATGCATTTTTTCTCACAATTAAAATACTTTTAAGATCCATAAATCAATACTTTAAGAGCATTGCTAAGCCAACTACATAATGTTTCATGAATTATAAAGGTTCCTATGTTCTTCATAAATCATCATGAGTCTGAGCTATATGGCATTAAACATGTTATTGAATTCACTGAGACCTCTCTTATCAAACACAGTCTGTTAGTAACATAATGAATTATAAATATAACAGCACTGTGTTTCTCTGTGTGCTATTATATTAAAAATTGAAGATGGATTGTGATTACAGGGAAAAGACTTTTGTTTGTTTTTTTTTTTTGAGCAGTTACTCCATGTTATCTCATGCTCA